TTTTTTTTCCCTTTTAGGGGGGGATGCCCCGTTTGTTCCCCCCCCGTGTTATAATACTTGGGGGTCCGTTTGGGTGTTTTTTTTCCCCCCGGGTTCGGTTTGTTTTTGGTCCCTTCCCACGGGTTCTTTTTTTTAAGTTTCCCAGAATCCCCGAGGGGGGGGGGAGGGGGTTCGGGCCTTTGGGGACAGGGGCCCTTATTTCCCCCCTGAAAACAAAAACCTTTGGTGGGGGGGGAAAAAACCTTGGAAAAGGATTCCCGGTTTTTTTCGGGAGATTTTTTCCGGGTTTTGGGGGGGGATTTTTGTTGGAAAGCGCGAAAAAATTTTTTTTTTTAAAGTCCCGGGAAATTTTGGGGAAAAAATTTTTGGGGATGGCGGGGGGGAAAATTGGGGGGGGGGGGGGGGGGTGTACTCATAGTCGTGCATACCGTAGTCGTTAGACCATTGACCTCGCATTCCTACAAAGCCGGGCGGGAGCACGCCGGGTTCTGACCGGACCAGGCTCCCACATCACCAAGGGGGGGGGGTGTTCTCAGCATCCAAGGGTTACCCGCTCAGCGTTTCCATAGCTGCACGGTACACGTTGGGAGTGTGACAATCTGATCTGATCTGCCTTAATGATTTGTTCCTCAATGTTTCATGGGGCTCCGGAAGAGGCGTATTGGGGGGGGGGGGGGGGGGGCTTTTTTTTCCCCCAAAGGGGAATAAGGGGATTACCCCCCCCCCCCGGGCTTAAGGGACCAAACCCCCCCGGTTTATTTTTTGGAATTTTTCAAAACAAAACCTTTTTCCATAAAAAACCCCCCCGGGGGGGGAAAAAAAGCCAAAGGCCCGGGCCGGGGAAAAAAAAAAAACACTCCATTTTGGGGAAATGGGCCCACATACCAGCCGGTTTTGAAAAAAATTTCCAAAACCTTTTCCCAAACAACGGGGGGGGATAAACAACTATCCCAACGGAAAAACCCCCCGGCCTTCAAACGGGGGTTGCAAAAAACAAAAAAACCCCCCCCCGGGGAAAACGGGGAGGGAGGGGGACCCCCCACTGAGGCAACCCTACCAAAAAAAGGGCCCGCCCCGGCCTGCTTCCTAAGCCCTAAAATTGTTGAAAAATTTGCCCCCGGGAAAAAATTTGTTTGTGTGTAAAATTTATCCTCCCCCGCCCCCAAAAAGGAAAAAAAAATTTATTTGGGGGATTTG